ATGACATCAAGACCAAGTTGCAGACCTTTCTGAAAATTATGTAGTAGCTCTCAGATATAATGCTGACAGTTTTAGTAGTTTCATTATTATAAGATTATCAGAGGTTGAGAATCAAATTTCATAAACACAGTTAGATGGTCAACAGAATGCTAAAGAAATTGCTGAAGATATCATGGTATTTGATCCAAAGAAAAAAGTTCCAAAACAACAACTGATAGACCGAAAGATAAATTTTCAATATAGCCCTTGTCATCCAAAAAAAAACTCAGCTAGATCAGGGATTTCAGCAACACAAATTCGGGAATGTATATTGCTTGTTTCATGAATTATGAAACTCCTGTAAAAGAGAGAATAATTATCCTTATACCTCATCTGTTCTGTCACATTTGTCCTCTGTTCATAAATGTGAATACAAAGGATAAGCATATATACTTTACAACAGTCAGAAAGTATTACTATAAGAGCACAAGCAGTTTAACACTCACCAAGATGCAGTCATTGCCATTGGCAATTATGTTACTTAAGATCCTGTTAACTTTTTACTGAATGTACAAGATAAGCAAGGAAAATTAATTTCAAGAATGTATTTGTCAAAAACCAAGATTTTATGACACATTTGATTGTCTATATTCTGTTTTTAGCCAAGCTTTACATTTTTGTGTACATCAAGATGTTATTTTGAGAAAGTCAATTTGTTGGAGCTCATGAAATTGCTTGCCAAGTATGATAGTGTGCTTGGGGAAAATTTGGAGAAAGGTATGTTTGAAAAGAAAGTAAAAGGTACAAACAATACACTTGCTGGCTATGATTCAAATATTTCATCCTTGAGTCCTGAATCTCAAAACAGGTTTATTTTAAAATATTGCTAAGGAAATATACCAAACTATAGTTACTAAAATCCAAGAGGTGGGATATTTCCACACCACCATAGATACTGTCCATTAAGACCAAGCACTGGTTATAATCAAATGTGTCAGAACTGATCTCTGCAATGAGAGCACTTGTTTAAGGTGGTACATGTGAGAGATTCATATATTGAATGTCTGTTTAACCTTCTAAACAAAATTATGGCTGTTAAGGGAGTTGACGAATGACTTTCAATTAATCTTATGATGGCACTACTTTGATGTCACAACAATATGCTGGTGCCAAAACATACCAAAGGAGGAACATCCAATCTGCCTCTAGATTTAAACATCAGACCATGCAATGAAATAAGTTATAATGCAGGCATGTAGTACCTCTTTGCAGATCAAGTGATTGTCTTGCTTCTTGCAAGAAGTACAGACTCACAGTGGTATATCCCCAACCTCCAACTCACTGGCCACAGCAGGTGTTGACTACTCACTGGTGGTCCCAACAAAAAAGCTTCGTTAATATGTTCTTTCCATGTGAAGAAAAGCTTTGTAATTGCTTTATGGATGCTCCTAAGAAATGTCAGTTTACTGGCCAAGGGAAGTTGTAAAAACCTTGCTATGTTTTTAACTGTCATTGGTGTTCATTTATTCAAGAAAAGTTTTGTCATCACAGATCCTGTATTTAACTATCTTTAATCTAAAATCATTAATTTTCTACAAGCAGTGAAACTTGTTGGGGTTTGTGAATCTCATTTGCTGGAGCTCAGGAACAACCAATGCATCTGAAAAGTTGTATGAATCTCACGTTTCTTTCTGTGAATGGCACAACCTTGAGGATGTGCAATTTCCTGAGTCCACAATAAGGCAAGAATGAATGATGAAATAGCTTTATATGAAGTTAACAAGTCTTTCAAAATCCCAATTTTACCACTGTTGAAGTTGTGATCAGTGCAGAAAGAGAGATCTGCAGTCAATATTTTTTTGCTTAGCCTTGATACATCTATAAAGAAGCATCATTGTCTAGTGTTAATCCATGCTTCCTACCAGTCCACCAATTTCTTGTCAGTTCTAAATTATGATCTGCTTTCTCAAAATCTCTCTGAAATTATAAAATTCTTAAAATTATCAGTTGGCTCCACCAAATGTGAATATTGTCTCTTTAAACTGAAACTGACCAAGACCTTTTTCATTCCACTATGTCATCCAAGTAACTAACTTCCTTGATAACAGTTATCATTGAAATACCTTAAACTGAACTTTGAGAAATTGATCCCAGTTCAGTAAGCTCCTGTTTCACATCTCTTTTACAGAAGATACTGCTTTTATAAACCTTTTCTTTCAGGTTGTATGTCCAAGCTTATGTTTCTATTTTGATAATTCTTTTAGTAGGCAGCTGATGAATTATACCACAGTGTAACAATGAGTCTCTTTGATTTCCTTTTGAGAATATCTTTGATTAATCTTAGATATGTGAAAATAAAATGTTACTTAAAGTAAACACATTAACTTGTTTAAAAAGTATTATCCTTAATATTGCATAGTCTCTGCTCCTTTCCCCCTCTATATCCCACCCTGTCCATTAAAAAATGAAGTGTTTTTGAAAGTTAATTGCACATTTGTACTACAAAATTAAATGATCTCAAAGTAGACATGTACACTTTGCAGTGTTTAGAACTATATTCCCCTATATATATATATTAATATATAATGCATCTTTCTGATCTTAACTGGTATGTTCATCATGATTAATGTAACAAAAAATTATTCGTAGTGACCTTGCCGGCTGATTAGTTATCAAGTCAAATAATTCCACTGTCTGTCCCATCTGGCTCACTCAGTCAATTTCAGACACTTTAGCCACATGTCACTAGCCAAGAACCATTTTTTTTCAATACCTGAACATAACTAGAATGAACTATGATGGCAGTAAAAGGTCCATCTGAAATGCTATTTTATATGCAGCATAAAAAAATTAATATTGAGGTGTTAAACAACAAGTGTACTTTAATAAATAGTTTTAACTTGATTTCCACACTGACACAGCAGAACACAAATGACATTAAAACGTTTTCATGTGACTTCAACATTATACCTTTAATTAGCTGACTTACTGCAATACTCATGTGTATGACTTGCATTAACATTTAAGTACTTAAAACAATCACTCATAATATCAAGTAAGTCAAACCTCTTTACTTTAATCAAATTATTTAATTCAACACATCTGTCAAGTTTTTGAGTTTGTGAAGACTTAAATGGAGCCACTTGACTGTGAAATATTAAATACTTAAAAAGGCATATTAAACAAATGTTGTACAATGTATTACCAAAGCCAATACTTTCACACAATTCAAATATTTTGCTTCACTTGAATTTTTTTTTTTCACATTTCTTAAAATTTCAGAAAAGAAACTGAATAATTATATAATTCTATAACGAAAGAATCTGGTAATGATTGATCAAAATTACTTATATGAGTTATTCTAAAACTAAAGCCAATACACATTCTTCAATTTTATATCTTATGCTGCTGGGAAAATTAACTTTAATAAAGTAAAAAAGCTGAAATGCAAGAGACTTCCTCAGTTTAAAATCTAAACAACAATAAGATATACTTATAGAACTACACTATTTTGTACACATAAATAACAGCTTAATGTCTAATATAAACAGGAAATCTATACATGTACACAAAATATATTTCATTTCATGAACAGAAAAGTAAAGTTTAGACCCTAAATAAAGATTTAAAGTGACTTAATCATTTAGACTTGTTACAACAACATAACATACAAACACTAACACAAAATTATCTGTCTTAACAATTAAAGGATCTTACAGCTTTAAAAGGAAACTATCATTTTATGTACAGGGGAAGACTTTTTGAAGTAATTTCAAATTCTTGAATTTTTTATTTGATAAACTGACAAACATGATTCCTTTATTAAAATTCTTAAAATCTGCAAAGCAATTATATTGAAAATAAAACATATCACCCCCACAAACAAAAAAAAACAAACTACAACAACTAATACTGCATATGAATTTATGAACACAGTACAAAAGAAAGAAACAGTTCTTACATAAAAACTGGTTTATTTACTGTATTTAACCACATGCAAATGTTTAGACACTGCACATCACATATAAGCAGCTGTTCAATAACTAACAGCCAATTTATAGTTATGGTAGAAACATTTTACATTTAGTGTATGCATGTGTGGTTAAAATCCAATTACCAAAATGTTATTATGAATGACTTGTCTTAAGAACACATTCAAAGCAATAATTAAAGCTTGTTTTTATAGTGTACAACAAATAAGCTTAAATTGAACATAAAACAGATAGAACATTAAGATCTTTGACAAAAATAGAATTTATAAAAATAACAAAAAAAATTATTAATTGTTTTGTTGGTAAGTTGTAACTGAATAATGTGATTGGAAGTGACACAATGTAGAAATCAAGGTAGTTTGTACAAAATATAGCATAGTGGGATATCTCGGAATGCCTTCAGCCCTTTATAGTATTGGTGTTTGTTAACTGGCAACAAGGACAATAGTTTTCAAAATGTTCTATATATGTCAAAAAGTGTGAAGGCTAGATCTGCCATTTCATGACCCCAGAGACTGAGCATAGCTACATGTAGTTTCCTAAGAATCTGGATACTGAAAATGTTTTTTTATGTCTTAAAATTGAAAACAACTGATAATTTTTCAAGTGCTGCCTAATTTACTAATCCATATTAAGGAAAATTAACCCTTTTTGCAAAGGTAACTGTGTTCATGAACTTATACATGTGAGACAGGACACAAACAAGACTTGCACGTCTTTTATTTGTCAACTATGCTACAAAATAAATGTGATTCATAATGGCCAGAGGAATGTTTTAAAGGAGCAGTACTGTCTGTCTTAACATACAGAACATGCTGAATTACATTTACCTAAAGTACAAAGTTAAACCTTAATTTTCTGCTAATAGTACAATGGTAGAAATAAGATATACAAATTATATATTAATTTATGATAACAGACATTGTAAAGCATCTGAAAGTCATTATTTATCACTTTTATGTATAAGATATCATATGGTGTTGGAAAGGGTAACTCATCACATAAATAAAACAATAATGGGTAATTTTTAATCTGATTTAAAAAAAAACAGAACTGTTTTTCTATCCACACATCATAGTTGTTTAACTTCCTCAATCTCAGGCACAATGTTACTAACTAAAATAATATTAATTCCTATCACAGAAGAAATGCTAAACTATATGAAGAAATGTATAGTAAAATATGAACTGAGTCTCAACTAAACCAGTGTTTCTCAACCTTTTTTTGCTCATGACTCCCTTTTGAGTTTGATTTATCTCTGTGGCCCCACCCTTCATAGATGCTGTAACTTAGGAAAAAAGTTGATTTATAATATATTTATTGTATTGTTTTTAAATATTTTGTTTATAACATACTGTTTTCTTATACAAGTAAAAAATATTCTGTTAATTATAGAGTGGATCACCGCACAACGATAGTCTTGCTGCTCTTGAGAATCAGTCGAAAACATTCACAGATATCAAGACAAACATTTTGATTGTTATTCAAGTACTAGTCGCATCTGGTAACTTGACTTCTGAGCTGTGGGGGATACGGGGAGAAAGGAACGTTTGATTCAATTATAAATTTTAAATATTTTATTTGGGCAGTGAAGTTTTGGTCACCCACTCAGAATTTACTGTGGCCCCCTAATTTTCTGTCATTCATGTGTGGCCCCTTAGAAAGATGGTGTGGCCCCCTGGGGCCATATGGCTCATGTTGAGAACCACTGAACTAAACAGCATAATTAAACCAGGAGGTAACTGTAGCTGCCCTGATACTACTGCCAAGGTGTTTCTAACATTTAGTGATTATTTAATACCCTTAAAATTTCAATATGTTTATGATTTAATTTGGTTTTTAAATAAGTCTAATAAATTACATATTTAATTTAGTATGATGTAGAAAAGTTTACAAGCTAACAAGATTAATGAAAATGTACATTCTAAGTTAGAAGCCTGCTTAAGAGTAATTTCCATTCCAACCAAACTAATGTGTTTTAAATTTAGGTTAATAACATGTACCTTATATTTCTAATAACACTGGGCCCATTTCTAGCCCAATACTAAGGTTTTAAACTTATGCTTGAAGACGGTGCTATTACTAGGCTCATGAAGTGGATAAATAGAGCATTAATAGTAGACAATAAAGGAGACTCTCTTGAAAGTCTAAAACATTTTCTTCAAAGATGGATACATGAAGCTACTGTCAATAGAAAGTAGTAATCTTTATATATATACAATTATTTCAAGTTGATATTCACAAATAATTTTAGTCAACAATTAATTTTAAAACAACTTTAATGCAACCAGTAGTACTATCAGAAACACTGTTGTTGCTGCTAAAACCAATATGCACATCATTTTGTGGTTTTTCCTTTGATAGCTTTCAGCTCTTTGCAATTTTTGTAGACCTTGATGAACCTGAGTTTGGACATTTTCAAGATTATAGTCTATCCTATCCAAAATAGTCCCCTATTAAAGAAAGGAAAATACTGACTGCACTTTGTCTTAAAAAAAAAGCAGATTTTTTACATTATGTTGTTGATGAAGTATTACAGCTTGAGAATAACACACATACACACATACTTCCTAAAAAACTTAATTTAAAAATTCCAAATAACTATAAGGATTAATATGTCAATTTAAAATACACATGAAATAAAAAAAGAAAATTAATTAATCTACCAAGAAAAATATAAATTTTAATGAAATGAAAACTATGATGACATATGATATGAAATTATTATTTAAAATATTTTTGGAACACTTGAATTACAAATGTATTTTCAACTCCTTATACCCTTTCATATAGAATTTTAACTTTTAATAACTAATATGTGATAATCACCAAGTGTTAGGTGTAACACTCAAAATACAATGGTTTAATATCAGGAGAGCATGTAGGATGTGCAATTGGTCCATGATGCCATATCCATCTTTTTGGGATAAGTGACACATCCACGTATTGCCAGACATTGAGTGTGTAATGGCAGGGACATGCCCCATTCTACTGAAACTACACATCCTCTCTTATGTCTTGTAACCCTATGGTCATTAGCTAATATGTTTCTACAAAAGAGCAAGGTAGCCTTCTCCAGTCAGAGAAAAGTAGACCAACAACGTTACACTGTATTTGGTGACACCAAACAATCACTCTATATTCTATTTGGTCTGAAGCTTTTGCAACACAATGCAAGTTTCATGTGACCAGTACCAGTAATTGTTGCAGTTCATTTCACTGATGACATACAATATTGCCTTATGTATCTATTTAAAACACTAACTGGGCAGATATTCAATCAGTTTCTCCCATACAATTAACCATTCACAAAACTCCATGCACCAGCCTGGGTCATATTCTGTCAAGTTATAAAATATATGCAGCTTGTCAGGGTGGAATGTATGTTATTTCAGAATAAAGAAATTGCTTCTCATACAATTTTGCAAATTGACTTTGTTAGTCTATCTAACATACAGCCTGCTACTGTGTCTGAAAAGACCTAATTCATTGCTCTAGAAGATCTTTCACAGCAGTTATATCAGCCACAGAGCTAGTTTCATGAAACTTGGCAAGCAAATAACAAACATTTGTGTGACAGAATCCACACACCCTCCCCCAATAGGATGCCTCAATTTAAATTTTGTTTGGAGTTTGCTACTGATTCACTCCAGAAGCATTTCCACATATTCTCACAAGATTAATGCCATTCCAACTAATTATTGTAGCAAAAAAAAAAAAGAAGACAAAACAAAAACTGGAGAAACACAAACATAATTTACAAAAATGATAATAATGGTATAGGTTTTCTCATCACTCTATGTTATGATCACTAATTTCATCCTTAAGCTTTCATATTTTCCTATATCTATACAGTAATTAAATAAAATAGTTATTTCTAATATTACTTGTTGCAGTTCTACACATACACTGTTATATTTTGCAACCCTATGATCATCAGCCTAACGAGTTCCTAAAAATCTCCACACTGTCAAGAACAAAAATCCTGTAAACGATTATGACATTAAATTCAATGAAAAGAACCCATTTTGAGATTAATAATGGTTGGAGACGGCTTGAATGGGTAATGAAGAAAAACTTTAATATA